AGGAATCACCATACTGTTTTCCACAGAAACTGCACCATTTTACGTTCCCACCAACAGTGCACAAGTGTTCCCTTTTCTACACATCCTTGTCAACACTTGTTATTTTCTGGGGGTTTTTTGTTTGTTTGTTTGTTTTTTATAGTGGCCATCCTAATGGGTATGAAGTGGTATTTCATTGTGGTTTTGATTTGCATTACCATAATGATTCATGATTTTGAGCAGCTATTCATGTACTTATTTGGCCATTTGTATATCTTCTTTGAAGAAATGTCTGTTCAAGTCCTTTGCCCATTTTTAAATTAGGTTGCTTTTTAAATAGACGTTATTTTTTAGAGCAGTTTCAGATTCACAGCAAAACTGAGTGGAAGGTACAGAGATTTCCTATACACCTTCTGTCCCCACACATGAATCACTTCTCCTTTTATCAACATTTCTCTCATCATTATCACCACAGTCCACAGTTTACCTTAGGGTTCACTCTCGGGGTTGTACATTCTGTGGGTTTGGATAAATGCATACTGACATGTTTCCACCATTATAGTCTCATGCAGAGTAATGTCACTGCCCTAAAAATCTTCTGTGCTCCGCCTAGTCATCCCTCCCTACCCCTAACCCCTGGCAGACACTGATCTTTTTACTGTCTCCATTGTTTTGTCTTTTCCGAAATATCAAATGGTTGGAATCATACAGCATGAAGTCTTTTCAGACTGTCTTCTTTTAATTAGTAATATGCATTTAAGATCCTTCCATGTGTTTTCATGGCAGCTCTTTTTTCTTTAAGCACTGGAATAACATTCCATTGTCTGTATGTACTACAGTTTACTGAGCCATTCACCCACTGAAGGACATCTTGGTTGCTTCCAAGTTTTGGCAATTATGAATAAAGCTGCCATAAATATCTGTGTGCAGGTTTTTGTGTGGACATAAGTTTTCAACTCCTTTGGATAAATACCAAGGAGTGGCAATTGCTGGACTGTATGGTAAGAGAGTCTATTTAGTTTTGTAAGAAACAACTAACCTGTCTTCCAAAGTGGCTGTACTATTTTGCACTCCCACCAACAATGGATGCGAGTTCCTGTTGCTCCACATCCTCTCCAGCATTTCATTATCAGTTCTGGATTTGGACATTCTAATGGATGTGTACTGGAATCTTGTCTTAATTTGCATTTCTCTGATGACGTATGATGTGGAGCGTCTTTTCATATGCTTACTTGCCATCTGTATATCTCCTTTGGTGAGGTGTCTGTTTAGGTCTTTGGCCCAATTTTTAATTGGGTTGTTTGTTTGCTTATTATTGTTAAGAATCCTTTGTATATTTTGGATTAAAGCCATTTATCAGATGTGTCTTTTGTAAATATTTTCTCCCAGTTTGTGGTTTATCATTTCATTTTCTTCACGATGTCTTTCACAGAGTAGAATTTTAAAATTTTAATAAAGTCTAGCTTATTGATTCTTTCTTTCATGAATTGTGCCTTTGGCAAAAAGTCATTGCCAAACCCCAGGTCATCTACATTTTCTCCTTTGTTCTCTTCTAGAAGTTTTATAGTTTTGAATTTTATGTTTAGGTCTGTGATTCATTTTGAGTTAATTTTGTGGAGGGTGTAAGGTCTGTGTCTAGATTCTTTTTACATTTTTTTTTTTGCATGTGGATATTTAGCTGTTCCAGCACCATTTGTTAAAAAGAATATAATTTTCCATTATATTGCCTTTGCTCCTTTGTGAAAGATCAGTTTACTATATTTATTTGGGCCTCTTTCTAAGGTCTCTATTCTGTTCCATTGATCTATCTGTTTACCCTTTCACCAATACCACCCTGTCTCAATTACTGTAGCTATGTAGTAAGTTTTGAAGTCAGATAATATCAACTTTGTTCTCCAACTTTGTTCTTCTCCTTCAATATAATGTTTGCTTCTCTGGGTCTTTTGCCTCTCCACATAAACTTTAGAATGTTTGTCAATATCCATCATATAATTTGTTGGGATTTTGATTGGGGTTACATTGAATCTATAGATCAAGTTTGGAAGACCTGACACCTTAACAATCTGTGTCTTACTATCCATGAACATGGAATACCTGCTTTTAGTTAGTTCTTTCATTTATTTCATCAGAGTTTTGTAGTTCCTCATATGGATCTTGAATTTTTGGGGGGTGAAATTTTAAGAGTTCTCTAAATATCCTGGATATTAATCCCTTATCAGATATATGCTTTGCAAATATATTTTCTCATTTTGTGGGTTGCCTTTTTACCTTGTTGATAGTGTCTTTGGATGTACGAAAGTTTTTAATTTTCATGAAGTTCAGTTTGTTTATTTTTTTCTTTTATTGCCTGTGCTTGTGGTGTCAGATCCAGGAAATCATTGTCAAATCCAATGTCATGAAGCTCCTACCCTATGTTTTCTTCTAATATTTTTATAGTTTTAGGTCTTACATGTAGGGCTTTGGTCCATTTTGAGTTAATTTTTGTGTATGGCGTGAGGTAGGGGGTCCATCTTCATTCTTTTGCATGTGGATATCCAGTTTGCCTAGCACCATTTGTTGTAAAGACTGTCCTTTTCCCATGAATGATCTTGGCACCCTTGCCAAAAATCACTTATCCGTACACGAAAGGGCTCTCTATTCTGTTCCATTGGTCTATATGTATGTCTATCTTTATTCTAGTACCACAGTCATTTGATTACTGTAGCTTTGTGGTGAGTTTTGAAACCAGGAAGTGTGAGTCTTCCAGGGGAGCATTCCCCCATCTATATGACAAAATTCTTTTAAGTAATAACACATGATAATCAATAAAAATTGGTTTCCCGATTCATTCTTTTTTCATGATGTTATAAGTTATACATAGTACACATCTTCCTTTTCAGTGTACAATTCTGTGTTTTGACTAATGTACATAGTCCCATACCCATCGTACACTCTAGATATTTCTAGAAGGCAGTGATTTTTTTAAAAAAATTATCTTTATTGAAGTATAGTTTACATCCACTTAATCGCCCATTTTAATTGTACACTTTGGTAAGTTTTGACAAATGTACAAACCAGTGTAACCACCAAGACAATCAAGATGTAGAACATTGATATCACTCCATAAAGTTTCCTGATGCCTCTCTGCAGCCAATCTCTCCAACCTCTGGCCCAGGCAACCACTGATCTGCTTTCTGTCTCTATAATTTAGCTCTTTGAAATTTCATAAGAATAAAATATGTATGTTGGTTGGGGGCCCCAGGAAGCAGATGTGAGAATGGAGTTAGTGGTGTTAGAGATTTACTACGGATAAGACTTGTCAAAAATTGGGGGGAGTGGGAACAGGAGTAGGTGGGGAGGACTTTCACATCATGATGCAGGTTGGACACCTGTAAAAAGGGGACAGAATGAGGATCAGCCAGGAGGAGCCTCAGACTTTAAGTGCAGCTCTGACAAAGTCTCAGCCAGCCTAACATGGAGCCCCAGAACAAAGACTCCCATAGGCTCCCATGTTGGGCAGAAGTGGCCAAGAGTCTCTCTGTACTCCCTCTGTGCCCCATCACTGGGTGAGCTGCTGTGAAGAGCATGGCCTCAGCATTATCCCAAAGGTGCTACAGCTAGAGGCTGTCGGCAAACTTCACTCCCCACAGCTGATTGGCAATTTTTTTAAAAAAAGATTTTATTGGGGAATTGGGGCAGGGGAACAGTGTTGGGGAATTGGAGAAGGGGAACAGCCAAATTGTTGTCCTTTTGTTCTTCAGTCTAGATGTGGAGGATGCTGCTTCACTGGCCCATGTTGGTATTATGATTATTGTGCTCTTCCCAGGTGAGGTAGTCGGTTGCTCGCCATTGGACGGCTGCTCATGGAGGCTCACGGCAACCCATGACAGCCCACGGCAACCCACGGCAGCCCACGGCAGCCCACTGTAGCCCACTGCAGCCTACACTGTCACCGGCCACTCACGGCAGCCCAGCTCCAGGTGGAGCTGTTGTTCACGGTCTTAGCTGTAGAGGGCACAGCTTACTGGCACATATGGGAATCNGTGTGTGTGGTGGGTGGGAGGTGGGGGCAGGAGGTACATGGGAATTCTGTATTTGCTGCTCAATTTTGCTGTGAACGTAAAACTGTTCTAAAACACTAAAGTCTATTTTTAAAAAAGTTGGGGGTGGAGTGGAGACCTGATTAGGCACATTTTCCCCAGGAGCCTACTCTGCCTGCCTCCAGTGGTCCAGCCGCATCCCTATTCTGTAGCCGCTGCAGCACTTGTGGACTCTTGACTGCATGATTTTATTTCTCGTGGCATTTCCCATGTGAGTCTTCTCTTCAAATAAATTAAAAACAGCAAAAAGAATTGATGAGTGACTATGCCCAGGAATGAAAGATCCTTCTGTTAGCCTTCCTTCATTCTCTGGACACCTCCACCCCGTTCCTTATTTCTGGCCACTGGTTCTCTCTTCCTTTTCCGAGGGAAAGCTATCACGCAGAAGTACCTGTGGAAGTCACCCAGGTGTTCTGAATCGATATAGTCATCCAAGTTCAGGGTCAAGTCTGACACTTGCTGTGAGCCACATTCCTAGAAAAAAAAAATGAAACTGAGAGACTGGGACTATTTGGAGGCTAATGAGTGAATTGGTAGAGGGAAAGAGATAATTAAATATTCAACCTAGATAAACACATCATGTGCACAAAGAGACATACATAAGAATGTTTGTAATATAGGAAATACCCGTCTAACGCTTGGGGACTTGTCTGATTTAGGAATGCTGTCTTTCTAGGGCAAAGCCCAGGAGGCCCACTTCCCAGGCTCTTTTGCCGCTTGGGCACAGCTGTGTCACTGAGGTGCCAAATGGATGCGCAGCTGCGACTCTGAGGTGGGCAACGTGAAGAAGCAAGACGAGCAACGGACAGATTTCTTGCTAATGAGGGAGTCACAGCATCAGTGGCTCATGAGAAGGGGCACCAGGCCTGGCTGTATTGGCCAGTACCTAATGCCTCAGGGTGCTGGCAGCAGCACTGGTTCTCCATGGCATGCTTTGGGGTACTGTCCTGGAAGCGCAGCCTTGAACCTGTGTTTCCAGCCCTTCCAGTGATTCAATGAGCTATCCCAGTTTTTAATAAACCCAGTCTGTTTAAAATAACCCGAGGGGATTTTGTTGTTTGTAACTAAGAACCTTGTCTGATATAAGATCTAAATATTCATCAAAAGGGATAAATAAATTGTGGTATTATGGAATACTATATAGTAGTTAGAATAAATAAGGTATACCTATTAATATATGCATTCCCGTGTAAAGACCTCCAAAACATATTGAGTGGAAAAAGCAAGGTGCAGTACAATACAGACTGTATGATACTTTTATATAAACACACGCAGACAACCAGGACAAAACTTAACAAAAAGAAAGTCACTGCCCTCACGGTGCTTATAGTCCAGTGGCAGAATATAAATATTAACCTAAAGCATAAATAAGTACATAATTACATTGTGGCACCAGGTAGGAAAATAAAATAATGAAGCAGAGAGGCACAATTTAGATTTTTCTGGCAAGTGAGAGTAGGTAGTCAGGACTGAACTTTTTTTTTTTTTTTGGAATTTTTATAAGAGTTTATTTGAGCCAAACTGATTACATGCCAGGAAGCAAAACTTCAAATGCTCCCAGGACTGAATTTTTTAAGTAAAAAATGAGAGGGAGTTAGCTAGGCTAAAGAAAGGATGAAGGGTATATATGATATGCGGCGGTGGAGGGGAGGAGATTTCCAGCACAGAAAACAGGACATGTAAAGGCTCCAAGGCAGCAGAGAGCTACGCGTATCTAAAGAACTCAAAGTAGCCACCTGGGGCTACAGGAAGTTTTCTCTTCCCATGTTGTCACTGAATGGTTTATCGTAACTTACTTAACCATTCCCATGATGGAAAGTCCTCCCATCCACCAATTTTACAATACCAGGCGGTGAAAATCTTTTTGAGCACAAAGCTTTTCTATACTTAGGGTTCTTGCCTACGTAGGATCACGAGGTAAAGACTTCACAAACCTTTAGAGTTCTTCATGCACGCTGTCAAATGGGTTTCAAAAAGGCGAGCCCACTGTCCATTCCCATCGGTGGACCCCTCCATGTCTCAGACACTCACCAGCACATTGACGATCATGCTGTTTTCCACGGTGACAGCCTTCACAAGGAGCTTTCTGGACCCATCCTTAGATTCATACCGGAGGACATACAGGTCTTTATTGTTGCTCCATTCTGCAGGCAGCAGCTCTGATTTCCTATCACTGGGACCTGGCTGAGAAGACACCAGGGTTGAGAGGAAGATGCTCATGACCTCAGAACACAGAGTTATAAAGGACCTTACAGACAATCTAATCCCATCCCTCACTTCCCAGATGAAAGCACGGAGGTCAGGAGAAATAAAACGTCCCAGGCCCTAACAGCAAGTTAGAGGTCTGGGACCCTGGTCTCTGGACTCCTTGCTCTTGATATTCTCTCATCTCTGACTACCTTTGTGACACAGCACTGGAGCCTGTCAAGAATCTGCAGCCTTGGTTCAATGATAATCTCCTCACCACCCCCCTGCCAAGAATAAGGCAAACCATCTCAAGGGATACTGTGAAATTCTAAGGCAGTGTTTTTCGAAGTTTGGAACTTGGGCCATCTGCAATAGGATCACCGAAATACTGACAAAAAATAGAGATTCTAATGCACTCCCCTCCAGACCACTGTAGTGGTTTAACAAACATTATGAACAATTTTCATACACACACAAAATGTAGCATATGCACAAGATAAAAAGGAATGATAAAATGGACATCTATGTATCTACCACCAGTTTAAGAAATAGAACATTGCCAGTATTGCTATAGCCTTGAGTAGTGAACCCTCAATGAAGCTCCTTCCTTCCCTCTCACAGGTAATTACTGCTCTGTATTTCTAAAAATTTCTTTACTATTCCTTACAGATAGTTGTATTACTATACATACAACCCTAACAATAAANGAGTAGAAGGGAAACGAAGGAGTAAGGAGGCTAGATCCGTTCTCACAGGAAGCTGACATGGAGGATGAGACACACAGGGGAGGGGGCAGGGAAGATGGGAGAACGGCACAGCAAAGAATCAGCGACGTTGGCTGGGCCCAGCAGTCCCAGGGTTCCCTGGGGATGACACGTCCTCCAGCTGTGAGAGGCAAAGCCTGAGGATGGGAGAGCAGGCTGGAGGGGCTGGTCATGTACGAACCCTCGCCTGGCCCTTACCCCCAGGCTGTATGTGTGTACGTGTGTGGGAGGTGCCTGTTTCCCGCAGCCCGAGTTGGGGACGATCGTGGTGAGTGGGGTGCACTGGACCCTGGACTGGGGCTGAGCAGGTCAAAGCGCAGCCCTACACCTGTGCTTGGATCCAGGGATCTGCTGGAGGCTGGAATACAGTATGAAGACAGTCCTGAGTACAGCTCCTCGCCGCCCACCGTATGGGAAGCTTAGTGGACTTCAGGGAGGTGAGGCGTGCGCAGGGGAGCGACGCCCGTCTCGGTGGCCAGGTCCACGCAATCCTGGCCTGGGGAGATTGCTGAAGCGAGTTTCTGTCCTTGGGTTTTCAATCACGTGCCAGCTTGTGCTGGAGGGGCTCTGGGCTGAGCTGGGACAACAGAGCACCTCGTCAACCCGCAGACTGCTATGCCAATGGTGTCATGAGCCCCAAGTTCCGAACTTGGGAGGGGAGAAAGGCCAGGCGCTTTGGACCAGGCCTTCGGCCCTATGGGTTTGGGCAGAAGACACCTTACCCACTCCACCCTGGTCCCGAACCGGCTCCGTGGCGTACCTGGTCGCCGGCACCCAGGGCGTAGTAGCCGTGCGTCACCACCTCCCAGTGAAGGAAGCAGACGAGCGCGTCCTGCACGCAGGTGATCGCCGGCGCCGCCGACGAGAACAGTACCTCCAGGCCCGCCATGCGCGTCCCGGGCTTCTGCGGGCAGAGGAAGTAAGGAAGTGCGGTGAGCCGACTCGGCCCTCGGAGTACTGATGACTCCGGTCCGCCACTCCGCTAGTCCTGGCTGCGTCTCCACTGGCGGCCAAAATGGAGACTCCCGGGGGTGGGGGCAGGGCCGCCGGAAGTAGCTCTAACAGCTGGCGCAGCTGCGGGAGCGCGCCGGGGCTGGACACTGGAGCGCGACACGGAAAGGTTCCGCCAGGCAGCGCGCGGGCGGGGCCCCTGCGGGAGCGGCCCTTCAAAGCTGGGAGCCTTATGTTCCTCGGTTTCTGGCAAGACCGCTCCAGGCAGGGTGTTTCGAGGAGGGGACACCTCGTTCTGAGCCACAGACTCCCCACCCACAAAATGGGATGGGCGTATGCTAGTGGCGGAAGCGGTTAAGAAATATGGCTAAAATATATTCTTAATAATAGTTGGCTCNCCCCACATTCTCACCAATACTTGTTATTTTCTGTTTTTCTTTTTTTTGATAGTGGCCATCCTAGTATGTGTGAGGTGGTATCGCTGAAGGATTCCCAGCAAGGGTTTGAACCATGATCTGATCTATTTTAAAAGGGCTGGTCTGACTGCTATATGGGAAATCGACTGGAGGAGGGGAAGTTGGGGTCTCCTCACATAGAGGCTGCATGCGAGAAGGGAGGGACGAACAAGGGTGGTATGGAGGTAGGTGGTTTGGAAGTCTGACAGGAGGGGAGCGGGTCCAAACGGTTATTGCTGATTAGACACAATTAAATGCAACAGGGTTTCTAGGCAGTTCTGATGACTGAATGTACAGCGATGCCAGGCTTCCTCCAAAGCCCGGAGCAAGTCAATGAGGATGGAAAAGAAGTACCTAAATGGAATAAAGTGGAAATAAATGGGCCTAACTATACATCAAACAGATGATTTCATGACACTGATGGAAAAACAAGCATTACTCTAAGTATCTTCTGAACAAAACACTCTGTCTACATACATCCTCAGTGGGGCACAGTCAAAGGACAGAAAGAACTGGAAAAAAATCATATTTGAAACTTTACTTAGTGCATTTTGTCTTGTTAGGTACTGACACAGCAGTTCAGAAACGATTTGTATATTTTAGGATCAAACAAATAAGTAAATATATTGATGCTGTTAGGCATCAGGGTTCTCACCACAGAATGGAGATAGAAGGGAATAAGAGAATAGAATCCTCCTATAGGGTTAGATTAAAAATACAAGTAACAGTTTGAAATTTAAGAAAAAAACTTTAAAGAAAAAGCTTCCTAGCTCTATTCTCTGACAAGGTCTGGAAGGAATAACATCTGTAGTCTTAACAAGCACACTCAAGGCGCAGATTTTGGTTTTTAAATTGTACTCCCCACCAACAGAAATCATGGGTCCTTAGAAAAATGGCTGATTTCAAGGCAGGGGCAAGGAAAGTGCAAGGTGAGGCTAGAACATCTTATTGTGCCCGAGAGGAAGAAAGCGTTCAAATAAGGAAGAGGATATGTCAAAAGGACAAGGGAGGCAGCCTGCGGGGGTTCCTACTCATCAACTCTGGAATGACTTGGGCATTCAAAGATGTCAGAAGTGAACTATAACTGAATAAAAAAAAAAATCCATGAGTCTATACTGGTATTTTAAAAATTAAAAATAAGGGGGACAAGAAGAATAGAAAACCTTTTTTATAAAAAAATGCAAACCAATAAATGTAGAAAGAATGATAAATTCTTTAGAAAATTACTGTTTTATAATCATCACAATAATAATTGATTCGGCAAGAATCATCAATAGATGCTAAAACCTCTGGGCGAAGACCATTAGGAAGCAGAATATTCACAGTCTGCTAGTATAATCCCACAGATCATTTATTAAACACAGATACCTTTACTATAGAGAAAACTGGAAGATACTGTCATAACCAAGTGATTAAACTGAACAAAATCAACTGTGATCCAGGTGTCACATACCTGATGTGAACCACTGAGAGCAGAGTCTCACCTACATAGTGTTCTTGTCAAAAATGTTCAACCTACATCAAATAATGAGTAAGTAATCGGATCTTGAGGAAAAAAACTGAACATTTTACACAAGAACTGACCTCAAGTCTTCAAAGATACCAATGCCATAAAAAACAAAAGTCTAAGAAACTATTCTAGATTAAAGGTAGTTAAAGAGACATGAAAATAAATACAATGTGTTATTTTGGTTGGGTAAGAAAAAAAATGCAAACCAAAAACTGAAAGATTAGCTAAAAAGGAAACTGTTGGGATGACTGCAGAANCTCTGACAAAGTCTCAGCCAGCCTAACATGGAGCCCCAGAACAAAGACTCCCATAGGCTCCCATGTTGGGCAGAAGTGGCCAAGAGTCTCTCTGTGCTCCCTCTGTGCCCCATCACTGGGTGAGCTGCTGTGAAGAGCATGGCGTCAGCATTATCCCAAAGGTGCTACAGCTAGAGGCTGTCGGCAAACTTCACTCCCCACAGCTGATTGGCAATTTAAAAAAAAAAAGATTTTATTGGGGAATTGGGGGAGGGGAACAGTGTTGGGGAATTGGAGAAGGGGAACAGCCAAGTTGTTGTCCTTTTGTTCTTCAGTCTAGTTGTGGAGGATGCTGCTTCACTGGCCCATGTTGGTACTATGATTATTGTGCTCTTCCCGGATGAGGCAGTCGGTTGCTCGCCATTGGACGGCTGCTCATGGAGGCTCACGGCAACCCACGGCAGCCCACTGTAGCCCACTGTAGCCCACTGCAGCCTACACTGTCACCGGCCATTCACGGCAGCCCAGCTCCAGGTGGAGCTGTTGTTCACGGTCTTAGCTGTAGAGGGCGCAGCTTACTGGCACATATGGGAATCAAACCAGCAGCCCTATTGTTCAGCTTGCGGTCTTACCAACTAAGCCACTCAGCCGGCTCCCCAGCAATTTCTTTCTTGAAGAGAGACTGGCATCCCTCTATAGCTGACTCATAAACTATATACTGTTGTGCCTGGGTCTTTTCATTCATCAGCATATCTGAGGTTCATCTGTGTTGTTCTGTGTATCAGTGCCTTTTTATTCCTGAGTAATATTCCATTGTGTGGATGTACCACTTTACCCATTCCCTTCCTGATGGCCATTTGGGTTATTTCCAGTTTTGGGTGATGATGAATAATGCTACTATAAACATTCATGTACAGGTCTTGGTGTGGACATATGTTTTCATTAGTCTTGGGTGAATTCCTAGAGTGGGATTGCTGGGTCGTGTGATTGTAGTGTATATTTATAAGAAATTGCAAAAAAGATTTCTAAAGTGTTTGTACCATTTTATACTACCCATGAGCAATGAATGAGAACCCTGGTTGCTCCACATCCAACAGGAAGGGATTTAATACAAAAAATTTGGTGCTTACAAACCATTGAGTGGGTTGGAATGTAAAAATTAGGCTGAAGGCAGCTTTCAGGGAGTCTGGAAGTTGCAGGAACTGCAGAAAAACACCAGCAATGACCATAGCTGCCTCCTGTCCTGAGGCAGAGTTCGAAACCTGCAGAGGTGGCTGCAAAGCTGAACCCTGAAACCCTGGATTCTGCCACTGCTGTTGGAGAAACAACAATGTGCCTCTGCTGCCTCCTGTTGGCTGAGTCTAACCCAGAACACTGAAGGCAAGTCATGCTGGAAAATGTCCGGCTTCAGGCCCCTGCAATACAGAAGAGGTGTGTGTGTGACTGGGGTGGAGGGGTCGGGGGTCGGGGGCTGGGTGGTGGACAGGGATGGTTTTGAGGCTTTAACAGACGAATTGGACAGTGAGTATTATCTCGTTTAATTTCTACAACTCTTTAAGGTAGAAACTATCATGACTCTTGTTTTTAAAATGAAAAAATGTAAGGCACAGTAAGGTTATACTCTTGCTCCTAAGTGACTCAGTCAGAGTTTGAACCAGATGGTATGCATATCTGCAGCACCACACGGCTGTGCTCCTGATGACATCATGAGGGCTTGCAGGCACCCAAGCTTTGTGTTTCCAAGTCTCTGCAAGAAAAGGTGACAGAGCTGTGACTGAGTTTTTTGGGCCTGGGCCGGAAGCATGAAAGGCTGGGAATAGGGAAAAAGGGTCCAGGCTGGGAACAGAGAAATGATTTAAGCATGAGAAGCTCCTCTAACCACAGGGACACATAGAGGGCCCACACAGGCCAGGGGAGCCACAAGAGGGCGCCCAGGCCCACCCAAACGTCCACCTGGGGCAGCCATGCAGGGTGAGGTGCATGTCTCCTTTATCCTGACTCTACCAGGAGGTTCAGCAGACTCTGTCCTCAGTGCAGTCACAGTCTTCCTGTATGGAAATACGTGCTTTTACCTCCGGGCATCATTGATCTCGGGGAGAGATAAGTCCTCAGAAAACCCAAGTTCCAGGGGACACAAACAGTCAGCTCTGCTCATTTCGGAGGCCATTCTCCTTCCTGCACCTCCTCTTCTCTCAGCAGACATCTTTGTATCCATCTTTTCACAGACTTGGTCATTTCCCTTTCCCCTGCCCCTCGCTATGTTCAGTTCCAGCCCCAAAGCCCCACAAGGCACTTGCCCCACCTTGGTCAGACAGGTGGGATGGGAAACCGGTCTCACCTTGAAAGGCCAGAAGCTTTGCCTGATGCTCTTCTAAATAGAGCATGAGCTTCATGAGCACAAGGACTTGGGTCTGTTTGATTCACTGCTGTACCTCTAGCTCCTAGAACAGTGCCTGGCATACATAGTAGGCGCCCCATAAATATTTGTTGAATTAATGAATAAATTAGCGAATCTATAGAGTGGAAAAATGTCTAGGTCTTGGAGTCAAGCAACCAGGGTTTACATCTCAGCTTCATTGCTTACTGTCTGTGCAACTTTGGATAAATGACTTAAATTGTCAAATAGGGATTATAATGTTACTTCCCAGGGGTTGTTGGGAGGGTTCCTGGAGATGATGTCACTAAAGCACCTCCCAGAGTGGCTGACACATGCCAGGAGCTCCTAAGTGGTGGCTCATTATTTGAGATAATGAGGCCTTGGAAAGCAGCTACTATTTATTGAGAATTTACCATGCGTCTGGCACTTGGCTTTCATTATTTAATTCAATCTTCTTAACTATTATACTTCATGAGAGGTTAAGTAGCTCAGAGAGGTTAAGTAATTTGGCCAGGGTCACACAGTTGAGAAGAATAAACTTGGGTTTAAGTCCAGGTCTTGAAGATTGCAGCATGCAAAGTTAGACTTCCTGGGTTCAAGTCCTGCCTCCATCACTTACAAATAGGATGACCTTGGGCAAGTTTCTCAATGGGGCGATCTAGGAAAGAACAGAAGTGGGCCACACACAGGTGCCATGCCGGGGCTCAGCTCCCGGCAGATGAACAC